TTAAATATTGAATATTGTACGCTACTTGATGCTAACCCAGATCCTTAATCTGTGTTAGCTTGGTAGCCAATTTTTATGTGTAATGTAGTTTGAGCACTTGTAACCCAAACTACTTGTATTTTCTATTTTGATTAGTTTGAGCACTTGAAACCCAAACTAACCGATGCGAGAAAGTAAGAAAGTTATAATTGATTTTTCTTTTCCTTCTGAACTTTATTAAAATTATTTCTTATATTTATACAAAATTATTTAATTAACAAGCTATTAAATTATGCATTAATTGACAATAAATATTAATGCATAATTCACAAATAAATAAATTTGCCTACGCTGTGCTGACATAATTATAGGCCAACATATTACACACTTTCTTCAGTGCATTGACCAACAAGAAACGCTGATAATGCAAAATTGCACTTTTCGTTGGTCAATGACTGGTCGCAGTGTTGGCCCAAATAATATGTAAACACATGTAACCAAATATCATAAAAAATAAAAATATAAAATAATATGAATTAAATGCAAACATAAACATTCTCCCCGCCGTTGAGTGCCAACTCAACTTGTCCTAGGTTGTGGTCACAGTGAAGTCCAAATTTTGTTGACGTAATTCTGCATTTTGCATATCATTTCCTCGTGTTGAAATTTCGCTTATTGTGTGTTTCTGACATCTGTTGTGTTTGGTTTTCCAAGTAATGATTATGATTATTGTTATAGAAATCAACAACGCCAAATAACTTATCGTATGATGATGAATACTGTTTAGTCGCACTCTAGAGGGAAGATATGTCAAATTTTCCTTAGTTAGCCGATTTTGCAATTCTGTCAGTTCCTTGAGTTGTGTTTTTACATCATTTGGTGTTGTATTGAAGATTTTCTGCATCTCATTAATGTGTACAACTGTTGATAAGTTTCCAAATCGTGGAAATGACGTGGATACAGTGCTGGAGATAAAATAGTGGCCATGTATAGTTATTTCTGCGTTTTTAATGATGCACGTAGGTCCAAATGTAAGCATTCCGGATCCTATCAGTGAGAACTGACTTAAGTAGGTCTCACAACTAGCTGACATCAATGTTTCGAATTTTGTTGCGTATAGCCACTGGTTCGGGTTGTGTAGTTGTTTCAATGCAATATTTCCTTGAAGTTTTATTATATTGCATGTTGTTGACTGATTACCATTAAATAGATTAATTTCACATGAATGTACTGATGATGCTATACCTAGTCTTGTTTGTTTATTAGCGCAAAGGTATATATTATCCTTGGTTAAAAAACATTCCCGTAATTCATGGTCATCAAATGGAATGTACTGATCTCGAACAGTATTGGTTGCCAAGTACTCCACTTCAGTTTTGATAATTATCATAGTTTTGTTTATTACAACCGGTATCGGTGTTGTCTTGAACAATTCAAATTGCTGCTTGTCTAGCAGTGGTAGTTGTATTAAAAATAATACATGCTGATTTTTAATTGTTGACTTCACTTTCATTAGCTTGTAAAAATCGGTCAAATTGTCTTCTGTGAACGGTAGTGTACGCGATGATGGTAAGTGGCCTTTGATTCTGTTGATCTCCTTTGTTAATTGATCAGGAGTTAATAGCAGTGGACTGATTTTCCCATGATGTGTGTCTGTAAGCACATCAATTATCTCCGACTGGATGTGTTGAAGATTGGATACCATTAATGTGAGTTCTGCAGATAATGAAAGTAGTAATTGAGTGACATGTATTTGTTCTGTTGTAGTTCCAATTCTATTCAGAAACTCATCAACCTGCTTTTGCAAATGATTCATTCGGAACTGCATGGTAACTTCATCTCGTTTGATTATATTTATTGTGGAATCTATAATAGATGTTTGATTATGAATTAACTGCATTGCATAATCATCTCTACTGTTAAGTTGGTTTATTGTGTCAGACATGCTCTCAGCGTAGTCTGAATCAAGCACTCCGAATAAGGTGTGTGCAATATTTCCTACTATGTTAATTGCAGCTCGCTTGTTCCGGCTTTTATATAATAATGTTTGGTCTTGCAACAATTCATCTCTTGCATGTTTAAAATGAGTATAGAGAGAAGTACATGCTGTATGTGCTTGCAATTCTGAACATAAACGTTTGATAGTTTTAGTCCCGTTGTTGAAGGAGTCCATTTCGGTCCAATATGGATGAAGATCATAGTAAACAATCATTTTCCATTCCGCCGTTGCTACTTTCATCAAACCAATGGATTCAACGTATATTCCTAAGTTATTGTCGAAACGTGTTACATTCACTGAATTCCCTAATACCAATGGCAGGAATAATAGAGATAATAACATTGTGCACAGTAATGAATTAGACATTGGCCGTGAATACTTTTTAGGTGGCTAGTCTTGATCTGCGCCTTCGTGTGGTGTTTTCGAATTCGCTTTTGTAAAACTTTTTGAAAGTTGTTCATCAGAAGCAAGAGATTGTTCATCGGATGGAAACAGAGGCGCTAGTCTTGTCAAAGGACGTCTTAGAGTTCCTGATGCCATTCTAACATCAACCACGCGAACTAGACCGTCAACTCCCTTATATACCTTTGCAATACGTCCAAGCGGCCATTTTAATGTAGGAACATTATCTTCCTTGATGATTACAAGAGTACCTTCTTTTATATTTGGATTGGCTGCTTTCCATTTGTGTCGACATTGTAGTTCAGTGAGGTACTCGGTTTTCCAACGTTCCCAAAAGTCCAATTTGAGGCGAGAGACTAATTTCCATCTTGTCACCAAATTTATATTTCCTGATTGGGCCTTTGCATCTGCCATTGCTGTGAGTGGTTCTCCGATTAAGAAATGACCAGGTGTTAGTGCTGACAAGTCATTCGGATTACTTGACATAGGTGTCAATGGTCGAGAGTTCAGTATTGCTTCGACTCCTAGTACCACAGTCTCTAGTTCCTCATATGTTAGTGACGTGGTCTTAGTACTTCGTATCAATAGGTGTTTTGCTGATTTGACTGCTGCTTCCCACAGTCCACCGAAGTGTGGTGCACGAGGAGGTATAAATTTAAATGTTATTCCTCTTTCATTACATTCGTTAATTATCTTCTCTTGTGCCTTGCTTGAATTGAGTCTGCAAGTTCAAGTAATTGATTACTTGCTCCGACGAAATTTGTGGCATTGTCACAAAACAAATTTTTACAGTGTCCTCTTCGAGCAACAAAACGTTTCAGCGATCCGATGAATGCATCTGTGGTTAAATCGCTGACTACTTCGAGATGAACTGCCTTAGTTGTAAAACAACAGTACACAGCAATGTATGCCTTGTGTGGTTTTTTGCCTCGGATTCTGTAATGTATCCAAAAAGGTCCGCAAAAGTCCACGCCAGTGGTGAGGAATGATCGCCCAGGTTGTACTCTTGTCGCTGGCAAATTACCCATCAGTTGTTCATAAAATCGTGGTCTTACTTTAGTACAACGTACACAATGTTGTACTACTGACCTTGCCATCAATTTGCCCTTAATTGGCCAGTATCGTTGACGCATGTTAGCTAGGAGAGATTGCGGACCACAGTGCATGTATTTCTTATGGACTTGTTCCATTATTAATTTGACAATGGGGTCGTTATAAGGCAACAACATAGGATGTTTGGCGTCATACGATAATGAGGCTGCATCCAACCGTCCACCAACTCTTATGATGCCTGTATTATCAATAAAAGGTGCCAGTGATGCCAATGCACTGGACTTATTTATTCTTCCATCAGATTTCATAATTTTGATTTCATTTTTAAATTCTGCATATTGAATGCTTTTGATGATGACCTGATGTGCTGCATCTAGATCATCTGGAGTCAAAAAATTGCTTGAATGATCATTTTGTTTTCTTCTGATTCTTTTTACGAATCTTAAAGTATACGATAATATCCGTTGAAGTCTTCCAAATGAGTTGTTTTGTCTTATTGAATATATGAACTCTCCAGGATTTGCTGTGCCTTCAACAACAGACAATGTAGATACTTGAGTTTCCTTCTTCCGTTCAGGATCAATGAGGGTTTCGGATTTTAATGCTGATGATGGTTTTGAAGGCCACAGTTCTTCCCGACCATGCAGGAACATAGGTCCATAAAACCACATACTTGATGACTGTAGTTTATGGGGTGCAAGGCCTCTTGATAAAATGTCAGCTGGATTGTGTTCCGAACTGACGTGGCGCCACTGACTTGTGGCTGTTAATTGATGAATGTTGCTTACTCGGTTTGCAACGAAAGTGTGAAACTTTGATGATGGAGAGTTGATCCATGATATCACTATTTGTGAATCACACCAAAAGAACGTCTGGTAATTTCTTATTTGTAGATCGTTCTTTATTCTTTTTGCTAGTTCTGCGCCAACTACAGCTGCACAAAGTTCAAGACGAGGTAATGTCAACCTTTTCAAAGGTGCAACTCGAGATTTGGCGCACAATAGTCGTACAATAATTTGACCATTCTGAAGTGTTGATCGCATATACGCTGCAGCACCATATGCCTTTTCTGATGCATCTGTAAAGATGTGTAATTGAATGTTGGCAGGAACTTCACCCTTGAAAATATGACGAGATATCTGCAGACAATTTACTTTCGTCAAATTGTTCCGGAACACTAACCACTGTTTATGTAATTCAGTCGGCAGTTTTTCATCCCAATCCATTTTTAAATTCCATAATTCTTGAATAAAGATCTTTGCCATCACCACAACTGGTGACAAAAGTCCTAGTGGATCAAATAGCCTTGCTAAATCTGAGGTTGCACTGCGCTTCGTCGTGCTGCAAACAGGTTCCAATTTAACCTTGACGCATAAACTATCAGATTTTGGACACCAGGATAACCCAAGAGTTTTTGTTGTATCGTTATTATTTTCTAAATCTAAATTGACTTCTAAGTCATCGTGTGGAATTCCTTGTAGTAGACTTGGATGATTTGCGCACCATTTTCGCAATTTAAAACCGCTTGCTGTCAGTATTTTGTTTAATTGACTCTGAGTTTCCAACAATGTTCTCAGACTATCTGCCCCTTGTAAACAGTCATCTACATAGAAGTTTTGTTTGAGAGCAGATGCACCTAATGGATAATTTTGCATATTGTCATCAGCTAAAACTTGCAAACATTTGGTTGCTAGATACGGTGCTGATCTAGTACCATATGTTACTGTGTTGAGTTCAAAGTACTTTATAGGTTGACTTGGTTCATTTCTCCAAACGATAAGCTGACATTGTCTGTCTTCTGGATGTACAAGTATTTGTCGGTACATCTTTTCAATGTCTGTTGTAAACACATAACGAGGAAGACGGAATCGTAATAAAATAGATAGTAATTCACTTTGAACAGTTGGTCCGGTGTGTAGTAAATCGTTGAGAGATTGCCCTGATGTTGTTTTGGATGATGCATCAAATACCACACGTAACTTGGTGGTGGTACTATCAGGTTTAAGCACACAATGGTGTGGTATAAAGTAATGTGGTGACATAATCCTTTCAATATCTATTTCGGTCATATGTCCCAATTTTTCATATTCATCTAAAAACTCTACATATTGTCGTTTGAGATGACTATCCTTTGAAAGTCTACGCTCTAGTGCTAGAAATCTATTTGTAGCAATGTCTTTCGAATCTCCCAAAGCGAATCTGTCATTTATAAAAGGAAGACGAACGATGAATCGTCCCGTAACATTCTGATATGTAGTTTGAGTGAATTGAGCTTCACATTGTTGTTCTGCTATTGACAAGACCTTTGAGTGAGTATCAACTTCTTCAACCTTCCAAAGTTGTTCTATTGCGTTTTCCAAACTATCTTCTGATGCTATTCCACATGTTGCAATCATTGTGTTAGCATTTTGGATTTTTCCAGATACGATCCATCCGAGCACAGTGTTCTGTAGAATTGGTAGTTCCCTTGAAAGTTGTATTTGACCAGGACTTAGGAGTTGATGATAAAATTCTGCTCCAAGCAACATATCAATTTTGTCAGACTTATAGAATGTAGGATCTGCTAATTGGATGTTATTGGGCAGATTCCAATTTGAAATTTGTAAGTGTTGCGATGGTTGATTGGATACAATTTTTGGCAACACAAATGCTTCAAGTATTGTTTTGTAATCGGTCACTTTTGATCGCACAGAAAGTGTTGTACGACTTTTTGAACTCAATTTACCTATCCCTATGCCTTCGATGCAAATCGAACTGGAGCTTACTTGCAGCCCCAATCTGGATGCCAATCGTTCAGTCACAATATTTATTTGTGAACCTGAATCCAGTACTGCTCTGCACTCGACTGTTCTTCCATTAGAGTTGGAGGCTAAAAGTTTTGCTGTTCCTAAAAGAACGCAACTGGTATGACCACGATTGATGGATGACATTAGAGTTGTTTGTGCAAGTGGCCTTGAAGTGTTTTCAACTGACGTATGATTTGATGGTTGAACTGGGTGTCTATTTTGATGCAACAGTGTATTATGTCTTCTTTGGCATATATTACAACCCCTGCTGGAGCATTGTAATGCCATATGACCAGGTTTCATGCAGTTTGTGCACAATTTATGACGTTTTAGTAAATCGTACTTCTGTTGTATGGATTTACGTTTGAAAGTTTCACATGAAAATAATTGATGACTTCTATTGCAAGTAATACATTTTGATCCTGAGTCTGTAGCTGCAAGTGCTACTGCTGGATGTCGTGGTTTGTGACTTTGTTTGTGGTTTCCATTCGTCATTGATTCGAATGCCTGAAATCTTCCTTCTAGGAACCGCAATAATTCTTTTAATGAAATTATTCTTCGGCTGTCTTCTAACGATTGCTCGAATGCCGTATGTGAAGCTTTGTCTAGCTTTCTAATAATTACGTGAACCATTATGGCGTCCCAAGATTTAACATCAATACCTTGAGCTGCTAATCCATAATAACATTCTTTTGTAACATCATGTATGCCCTTAAGACTGCTTGCTGATTGTTATATTGTTATATTTGGTTGTGATAACAATTTATTTAGTAATGCTGTCACCAAGAGTCGTTTGTTGTCATACCGATTTGACAGAATATCCCAAGCTATATTATAATTTTGCTCGGAAATTGGCAGATGCCGTATGAGGGCTTTCGGCTCACCTGCCAAGTTTGTAGATAAATGGAACATTTTGTGGGCTGCGCTTATTGATTGATCATGGATCAATTGTTGAAACAAATCTCTAAATTCTCTGTACCGAGCTCTGACTGCTTCTTTAATAACGCATCCATGGCGATGTTTGAATTTTCGGTCCGAAAATTCCAATGAATAAATACTTCAGCTGCTTGATGAGTGAAGTACACCTGATTATGTCCTTTTTGTAGACAATTGACTCCTTCGAAGTGTTCTTCGTCAGGATAATGAAATGAAAATTGATATTATATCAATAATCACGTCGGGGTCACCAAAAAATGTACGCTACTTGGTGCTAACCCAGATCCTTAATCTGTGTTAGCTTGGTAGCCAATTTTTATGTGTAAAGTAGTTTGAGCACTTGTAACCCAAACTACTTGTATTTTCTATGTTGATTAGTTTGAGCACTTGAAACCCAAACTAATCGATGCGAGAAAGTAAGAAAGTTATAATTGATTTCGTTTCTTTTTCTTTTCCTTCTGAACTTTATTAAAATTATTTCTTATATTTATACAAAATTATTTTATAAAAAGCTATTAAATTATGCATTAATTAACAATAAATATTAATGCATAATTCACAAATAAATAAATTTGCCTACGCTGTGCTAACATAATTATAGGCCAACATATTACACACTTTCTTCAGTGCATTGACCAACAAGAAAAGCTGATAATGCAAAATTGCACTTTTCGTTGGTCAATGACTGGTCGCAGTGTTGGCCCAAATAATATGTAAACACATGTAACCAAATATCATAACAAAAAAAAAAAATATAAAATAATATTAATTAAATACAAACATAAACACAATGCATTTGGCGTAGAAATTTTAATTTCGGCGCCGCTGACAAAAGGTTTGAAGAAATGTGAATTTCTTCTTTATACAATGGATTTGGTATGGCTGATAATATTCATGTGTTATTATCACCTTACCAAGTAATTTGTTAACGAAAATATGATTTCGTTATGAGCAAATGAGTAATAGAAATTTATATTTCTATTACTAACGAAATGTTAATTTCGTTATTTATAATAAATTTTAAAAGAAATGTGTATTTCTATTAAAAATAAAAAAATCAAACAAAATAGAAATCGAGATGTAAATTTCGATTCTTGGTGTTCAGCATGTGTAATATGGAGCAACCTGTTCTTAGCTCGATGTCTTGCTGAATCCCTCCTTGCGCTTTTGCTTCGCCTTTTATATACGCGAGGTAGATTTGTTTTTGTAATTGCAACGGTGCGTTGTTTACAAGCTTTATTATTGTTTTTGATGTTTTTTATTTTATTATTATATATATTTTGTTTTGTATTATTACATTATTGTGTGGTAAAATTTACGAGTGTAAATTTTATGTTACAGTAAGTTATTTGCGTTTTAAATTAACAATAAAATTAACCAGTTTTCATTGCATATATCAACTCCACACTGATTGTATGTAGGTTGGAAATTAGTTAAAATTTCCATCCTTGTATCTCCCTCCTTTTTAGGGAAAGTAAAGTATGACGGGACGCGCTACCTGTTAGCATGGTTTCTGTTCCGTTTCTTTGGACTTTTGAATATTTTATAGAATTTGTCTTGGTCTGTAGTATTCTGATCGTTATCCTGTTGAAGTTTACTTCGGCCTTTTACTTGTCGTTGCTGATTTTGCGAACTGGATTGTTCTTTTTCTAGATGTAACTGCAGTAGTTGTTCTTGTTGCATAGTGCCTTTCACCAAAACTTCTTGTGTAATTGGTAATAGTTGCCGCCATGATTTACTGATACTTTGTTCTTTGTTCTTTTCTTTCTCTTTTATTTCTAATTTCCAGTTGCTTTCTTTTTGTATAGAGTTTTTTTTGTTTTTTGTTCAGTCAAGGCTAACAATTTTCTTAATATAAATGTTTATAACTATTTTACACTTTATTAATGTTTAATTATCAGCTTTAATCAACTTAGTTAACATTAAAAATACAAATAAAGTTATATATTGAATACTAACACGTCCTTAGTTATTATAATATCATTTCGTACTTGAATTTTACTTTCACAATTAATTCAAAACCTTCAGTAATCGTGCTAGCAATTAGTGTGTTTCTTTTAACTCTTACACGTTTAGTTTTCCATTTACTTTTATTTAAATCATTTATTTTCTTTTAAAAATTTTTGCAAATATTCTTGTTTTTTAAATTGCTTCTTCGAACCGACTTTTTTAACCCACTCTCCCAAAACTGACCGTTAAAAAAAAACTACTCACAACTGAACCCTTAGTGTTGCAAATTGAATCTTATATACCTAAACTTGATGCAATACCTGACCTTATAAATGCCCTAGTTACCTCATTTAGATTTTTTAACAATTTCATAATATTTTTTGCTAAACTCGCAAAGTGTTTATTGTTACAAGAATGCCCTTCATATTTTTGCAATTCTTCCGCATTTAATATTTTTTCAAAGTCACTTACATCACGATACCAATTATTAACCAAATACCAAAATCAGCATTTTTTATCGTCGAACTGACGAACTGCTGTTTTGGTTCTGGTCAACAACCGCCTAGATGTAAACCACCTTGCCTACTTTTAGGAAAATGTACGATCACGTAAGATCGTACACACTACATTACGGAAGAACTGCCAAAACCCGTGAAATTAAATAAAACAAATATTTAACTCACAACAGCAAATACTTCTTTCGCAAGCTGCAACACAGCATTTAAAGTTATTTCAATAGGTTTCCAAAAATAAACCTTACCCGTTGAGTCCATAGATTTCAATGTTTGAAAGTATTGCAAAAACTCTGTTATGTAATTGAAACTGTGGCAGCATTACATAAAACGACTAAAACGTAAAACACTGTGACAGCATTACATAAAACAAGTAAAACGTAAAACACTGTGGCAGCATAATAAAAAAGAAAAAAACACAAAATAATGCTAGAGAGGTTTTTTGGACAGTGCTCTTTTGACCTACTTGGCATGCATTTTCGTAGTTGTTTAAACAATAGTATTGGCGGTAGAAATCAGTAATAAAGTCATTGAAGAAAATTTGTTTAAATGTTTAATAGTGAACAAAGCAAAATCGAACAAATATAGTGCAGTTCAAAGCAGTTCAGAAGTCAATTCAGAGCAGTGTTCAGTGTTCCGCACACGTTGCGCAGCAACATTAAATTATCAAAGTTAATGGTTTAAAATTTTGTATATACTTAATAAATAATAAATAACATTTCCATTAAAGTGGTGACCCCGACGTGATCCCAATTTAAGGGTCATTTGAACAAATTTAAAAAAGTCGTTTTAACGACTGGTCTTATCACAAAAAAAAGCTCTTTTAAGAGCTGTAATAAAGAGATAAAACTCCGAATTCCTGCATCGTACCTAAACAATATGTCTTTGCCAGCTGTCAATGACGCCGAAGCGAGTCGACAACAGGTAAATACATTACCCTTAAGAATCAAATAATACAGCGTTATAGCGCAAGCGAGCAACAAAAGATACAGCGACTACTCTCAGAAATCGAGCTAGGAAATCGCCAACTAACGCAACTACTGAAGGAGGTGACCGCTTTATCGAAAAACAAAGTTAGAAACGAGTTCCTGAAGTCTCTCTGGGTACAGCGTCAACACCGCAAGTACGTGCCATCTTACAGGCATCCAGTGTTGACCAGGTAGAGTTAGCTAAGCTGGCTGACTAAGCCAGCCATCGAGAACTCATTAATTATCACGCAAAAGAAGCCGAACGTGCTCGCAGTCCTCAAATCACTCCGATTGGTGCTGGTTTCATAGCAGATTCGGGGAGCAGGCTCGCAACTGCCGCCAGCAATGAACTTATACTACTAACGCAAAGCCAAGCATGTCTTAATTCACGT